AAGGATCTAGGTTCTTGTGTCTGCACCGCCAGCATCATCCTCACTCACAGCCTGTTCCCCTCATGATGTCAAGAGAGGTGCCCGGTTCCAGACATGAAAACCCCCATGTGACAGTGTCCTAGGAAAGGAAAAGGTCCCGCAGGTATATTTTGGGATGTTTTCTTTTATCAGCTTGTCTGATTCGTATAGCTCACTATTTGACGCGTAGCTCAATGTCACCAAGTGATGCCATTTTACAAGGAGGCTTGGGGAGGTTAGGGTTGGGACGAGGGACTCAGCCCTGGCTCTTCTGGACAGCAGTCCCGTGGTCTTGCTGGTGACACCAGGACAGCCTCTGCTGGAATAATTGGGAAAAAGAAATCATCAGGCATCCCCATTAATCAGTTTGCAAATATTCATATAAGGCAGGTCATATGCGTACGTTTGGGAAGCTTACAATCTAGTGGAAAAACAGAAACAAATAACACACGAATATCTAAGTTCTCATTGTGAAACTGCCCAGAAAGGGCTGGGGCCGTGGTAGAGACTCACAGGAAGGAAGAGTCAGGGGCGACACCTCTGCAGAGGAAGCATTAGCTGAGACCCAAAGGACTAGCAGGCCTTAATTAGCTGGGCAAAGAGGTGCAGGAAGGGGAGGGGGAGAGGGAGGAGGTGAGGAGGAGGAGGAGGTGGAGGAAGAGCAGGTTCAGGGAAGAGTGTGCACAGAGATCTGGGAGCGAGCGTCCCGGGCTCACTCGGGCAGCTGCGCACGCGGCTGGGTTCTCCTGAACAAGGGAGAGTAGGAGGAGGGGCCCAACCTCATGGGTCTAGAAGGGTAGGGTGTCGTGGAATTAAAATCATAGGCTCCGAGACTGGATGTTTTGGATTCAAATCCTGACGCTGTGGTTTAACAGCTCTGTGCCCTTAAGCAAACAGTTAACCACTCTGTGCTTTAATTTCTTCCTCTTATCAAGTCTCCACCTTCTCTGGAGCTGTGAGAAATGAAGGAGATGAGTTGTGTTGAAATGCCTCATGCTTAGTAAGTACTTGGTAGATGTCAGCTGCTCGCGTGGGCCTTGGTAAGGATTTGACTCCTTGTTTTGTGAGTAATGGAGAAGGCAAGGGGCAGCAACCCAACTCACACTGTCTTGAGCAACACTAGGGGGGTTATTGGCTCATAAAACTGAAAAATATAGGTTTAGATGTGTCATCAGGCACTGCTGGATCCAGGCACATAGTGCTCTCTTTCCACTGTTTGCTCTGCTTTCCAGGGGGGTGACTACATTCTCAGGCTCTCTGTCCCCACAGGGTGGCAGAGAGGCCAGTTACCACGGTGAAAGAGATGACCTCTCCTCCTTGTCCCAGGGCCTGTCTCCTGGAAGTCTCTCATTGTCCTAGTTCCCTTCTGTGGTCCAGCCCTGAGCCAGTCACCAGGGCAGTGGAGGAGGGGCATGGAGTGGGAAGGTAGAATTGATGCTATGCGGGCAGTTATATCCCCAAATGTTGAAGATCAGTGGCCTGAGGCTGGCAGGGGCTCTAAAAGGAAATTGAGCGGCTTTTACCAAATCTAGGAGAGGCATGCTGAGCAGGCAGGCACAGACAGCGTTCAGTTGGAGAGACACTGGAGGTTTTTTTACGCAGCGAAAGACAAGGTCTGACATTCCCCTTGGAATGACCATTGTGGCTGCTGAATGGATGAGATGGGGGGAGGACAGAGCAGAGCGGGAGAGGCAGTCTGGGAGAGCGGGGGTGATGGCGTGGCCAGGCTGGCGGCAGTGGGGCAGCGATGGGTGAGAGAGAGGCGCAGAGCCAGGGCTCGGTGACACACTGGGCTGGAGTGGGGTCAGGCGAGTTCTAGGCCAAGAGCCAGGATTTGGCCCATGTGAGACAGGGATCTTTCGGGAGGGCAGATTGAGGGGGTTCGATTTGGGAGGAAGTCAGAATTCAGCTTTACATTTGAGCATTTGAGCAACCTTGGGGTGTCCATTGGTAAAAATTCAGGAGGCTGTCTTTGGGGCTTTCTTGTCTGGTTCTTGTAGACTGTGAAAAGGATAAATAAATTGAATAATGCTTTCTCTGCCCAGTAGAATGCACTGAAAAAAGGAAGGCCTTCACTCTGGGAACAACTTACTGAGCTGTTTTCAGGGAATGTCCCTGGAACAATACGGCCTGGTCCAATCCCTCCCTTAAGAGTTAAAAAGTCCTTGGACAGCGAGGCGGCCGTGACCAGGAGGCTGGGGGCATGCACTGGGTGTTAGTCAAACTGCTGGGCTCCAGCCTCCAGGTGCTGACAGTGCAGCTGCGGTTAGACACGAGGAGCACGGGTGACATGGAAGATGTCTGGGCAGACAGCCGAAACTCAGTGCAGCGTGGCAGGGCCACGCAGCAGAGGCCGCAAGGGCTCAGAGGAGGAGGGGGTTAATGCAGGGCTGGTGCAATCCGGTATGGCTTTCCGGAGACAGAGCTGGAGTGGCATCATTGATGTGGCAGACAAAAGGAAGGCCACGACCTCCGGTGTGGGGTATAAGCCTAGGTGTGGGGTGTGTCCCACCCTGCCCCAAAGCAGCTGGGGCTCTGAGGACTTTCTAAATTAGGTCAGGACACGAGGGCCTCCCTGGACGTCCCAGATGTCCTGAGATCTTCAAGTGAGGGCTTGCCCCAGCCTTCCCAGTCACCTGAGAAGCAGCAAGCTGTTCCCTCCACAGGGCCCCTCATCTTTCCCTACATCTGTGGCAGCCCTCAGCACCCTGAACTGCAGAGGTTTCTGTGCCCCTCCCCTTAGCTCACCCCCTCTCAAAGGCAGGGAACTGGCACAGAGCACTGTCAACAACAGCATACACTCTGCCACATGCTGGGGAGGGGTGAATTCATGTCAGGGCCAATGGCCCTTAGCAGGGAGCTAGTGGTGGCTAGGCTGAGTGTGAGGTGCACGTATGAAGCTTGGGGGCTTGTCTGCCTTATTCCCTCTCCAGGTCCAGAGAAGAGCAGGTGTAGCGAGGCCATCAGCCCGGCCTCAGTGGACCTGGGCTGGCCCCAGAGCTGGCAGACCCCAAGCTAGTGAGTGAGCAGGGAGTCAGCTTTCCATCCATTAGGCCCATGGCCCGGCTGCTGATGCTGAGCATGCTGCTCTAAGCCCTGCTATCTACTTAGGCATCGTTAATATTTTACGTTGCAGAGCCAGGGGATCGATGCCTTGTTTATAGCTCAGTGTTTATGGACAGTCACTGAAGCTTTCATAAGGAGGATGTGCAGGAGCACCAGAGGAAACTGAGGCAGCCGAGGGAAGGCCTCAGGAGGACCCCAAGATGGCTTCCTTTGCTTGCCTGGTTCTCTGTCCTCCCATCTCTCTTGAATTTGGCACCCTGGGCATACCCAGCTCCAGAACACACCCTGAAAGGCCACGAGCGCCCCTGATCAATCTGATGGAGGCTCTTTAACTTCTACAGACTTTCACACACTTCAGTAACTCGCCCAGTGCAGCACAGCCTGACCTCTCACATCTTGGCCTCTATGCCTAGAACTCTGCCTTTGGTCAGCGGAGACTTCATGGCATCCCACTAAAATGGAATTGAAAGCTGAGCATTTTGAATATCTCCAACAACTCAGACTTTTAACCAGTGTTGAATAGTGAGGTTGAACTGTGCAAGCCCAAAGAAAGGTCTCAGGGAGCTTCCTCCACTTCAGTTTCCACGGAAGCAGTGTGGTGCCCTGGGGCAGCGTCAGCTCTGGAACCCCGCAGGTCTGGCTGCACCTGTGCCCTCTAGGTTCCGCTTTCCTCACCCATAGAATCGGGGAGAGAAATGCCCACGACGGGAACCCTAGAGGATGACAAGTAACCCTAAAGACTTGACTCGGGTCTGCCAGTTCCAAGAGGGCCCACAGTGCGCAGATGCAGTTTCCCACCCAACCTGGAATTCGAACAGGAGACAGGAGAACCTGCTCACCATTTGTTGAAGGAAGGAAGGAAGGAAGGAAGGAAGGGAGGGAGGGAGGGAGGGAGGGAGGAGCAGAGGTTCCACAAATGAGAGTTACTATTGTTCGGGCCCCAGGTGCAAACAAGGCTCACGCTCAAGGACGTGGGCGGGGCCTGGGCTTTCTCCCACTAAGGCACTGGGAGAACCGAACTTGTTTGCTGCGGCGCGCGTGCTGCCCCCTACATCCAAGCTGGTGTGCAGCGCCCACTGGTGGAAACATAGAGTAGCGGCTCCAGCGCCGGCTACCCCCACCCGGGAGTCCCAGGGTTTGGGCACTCAGAGGATCCGGGTCTTCGCCCTGCCGCGCCCCTCCTCTCCCCTTCGTTTCTTCTTGCTTTCCGAGGCTCTCCCGCGCCCCACTACTCAGTGCCCTGGGCAGGAAAAAGGTGACCCACAGACGAATAAGAACTCCCTTGCCCTGCTCACGCGGAGCGGTTGACCTCCATTTAGCTGTTTCCCACGGCGGGAAAGGCCAGCACCAGGCCCTCCTGGAGGAGGAGGCTGCAAGTCCACGACTCCCTACCGTCAGGTAGAACATGAACTGAGCTTCTCGGACTCTAGTGCACTCTGCGCACCCTCTTAAAGTCTCGAGCGCACCCTGGTTTCCAAAACTGAACAATTTTGGAGACCAAGGCCAACTTTAATCCCCGGCGGAGGGCTGGATTATGGAAAACACCCCGGGCCAGAGGGCTTCCCGGGTCCTTGGAATGCCAACTCTGCTCAGGCGGCGGCCGCGTTTCGCACGGTCAGCCAGGAGAGGGGAAGCCCCATTCCGCAGCGGTGCCGTGCTCTCTTCCTTCCCTTCCCCTCCCCTCCCAGCGCGGATTCGGTGAAATCATCCACCCAGCGGCCTCTCGGGGCTGGCGGGGAAGCAGTGGCTGCGCGCCAGGTCCATCCAGGGCTGAACGGCCTGAGGCGGGGCCGCTTCTCCCACCCCGCCCTTCCCCGGCGCGTGGGGGGGGGGCGGCTTAGGGGACGCCTCCCGGGTGGTCGCCGGGCCTAGGCCAATGAGCGCAGGGGAGATGCGATGGAGGCTGGGCGTCCAGGAGTACTTGGGACCCCTGCACACCTTCGCCCGCGGGGCTGGAGAGGGCGCGAGAGGCGCGGCACCCGTGCGGGGCATGGAGGCGCTTCTGGTCCGCGCCGCCGCCGTGCCTCAAAGTTTGCCAACTGACACGGAAAGTTGCGCTCCGGATCGGCCGCCGCGGCGCACCGCGTCCCACCTCCCGACCGGGCCCAGCTAGCCGCCGCCGCCCTGCGCGGGGCCCCGGCCCCGCAGACACCGGCAGCCCCGCCTGGCGGGGGCATGTGAGCCGCGGGCGGGCAGCAAGGGCCCGGCGCCTCGGAGGCAGCACGCGGGCCGCCATGGGCATCCAGGGCATGGAGCTGTGCGCCATGGCTGTGGTGGTGCTGCTGTTCATCGCCGTGCTCAAGCAGTTCGGCATCCTGGAGCCCATATCCATGGAAGGTAACTTGTGGTCCCCGCCCCCCGCTGCCCTCCGCCTGGGCCAGCGTTCTGTGGGGAGGGAGCCACAGGCGCTCTCGGACAGTACGCCTAGCTCAGCCACCCAGGTCGCCTCCCGGCTCCGGAGGGCTGGGCCTGGAACTAAGAGGTCGGAGAGGGCTCGGGCCCAAGTAACCTCCGAGGGGACGGAGCCGCTGTGCTTAAGTTGGGTGTGAGCGAAATGCCAGGTGGCACCTTGAGCCGTATTGACTCCCAGGGTTCCAGCGGCTCCTTGTGAGCACAGCGGGTTTAGGCCGCCGGGCGGCGGAGGTATTGCAGGGTGAACACGATTGGAAGACCCTCTACTCAGGGTGCCGGGCGACGAGTTATTATAAAGCTTCAGCGGAGTGTTTGGGGCCATCACTTTCGCCCCCATCCAACACCCGTTCTCCCCTGCCCAGGCAAGGTTTAGGCCCACGGGATTAGTAATCAAATCCTCAGGCGCCACATTTCTGTCCCAATAAAATATTAACTGAGGAGACAGGCCTACTCTTAAATCAGACACTGCCGCCTCCCAGAGACCCCTGGCAGGCGCTCTTGGAGCTGCTTCCCAACCCTTGGTGGGTCCCTAAACTCTGGGCGGGTTGGGAGGAGGGGCCCCTGCAGGGCACACTCATTCTGAAGGAGACCTTGACTGGCCAGGGTTGTAACCTGTGCTCCTGCAGTTCCAAAGAGGCTGTTGCAGCCCTATACCCCTGGGCTGCAGGGAAGGGGCCAGCTGGTCCTGTTCATGTCACCTGTGTGCCCCTGCTGTCCTCTAAGAGAAGGATGGGCATCCACCTGCCTCAGCACTCTGCTTAACTTGCCAGGGTCCAGCTCCTGGGACTGAAATCCAGAGACCTGGGGGGGGGGGGGGTGAGGGAGGAAGAACCTGCCTCTGCCTCTGAACTGCCCGAATCTCCTTGCACAGAGGGATGCAGCCCCCGTGAAGGGCTGTGAGGACAGGAAGGGGCACAGGGCCAGGAAGCCATGCTTGACCTCCATTCTGCCTTCAGAGCCCAGAGCTCACTCTTTACCTGAAGTTCATGGCTATGTGGCCCTCAGAAGCCATCCTGCTCCATCACACCTTTTCTAGGTGAGTTCAAGAGGTCCAGGTAGAAGGAACTTGCCCAAGGTGGATCGGAGAGGTGCCACCTTAAACTTTGCACCTGGAGAAGAAACTCGTCCGAGCCAGGTCTGCACTTAGCTGGCTGCTAGCCCTGGCATGGGTAGTCCGTGATGGGGAACTTAGCGGAAAATGCAGGCAGTTGGGGCGAGGTTGGGGGGCTGAGCATCCCACGCTGCTGTGGAACACTGCTTCTTGCTGGGCACTAGCATAGCCCGTATTCCCTACCCTATCCCTCCCTATGATAGGGGTGTGTGTGGGGGGTCCCATCTCCCTACACTGGGCCAGCTGAGCCAGCTGTGCTCACCAGGGGTTGCTTTGACAGATGGACAGCCCTAGGTGGTCAGGGATGTGTCACTGGGCATCATGTTCACAGGTCTGGGCCAGTCTGAAATCGGTCTCTGTAATTCTTAAGAAGGGATTTCTTCACCAGGTGGAGAGTATGCACAAGACTGTGGAGGTTCTATTCAACCCACTAAAACAGCCACCTCAGACCCAAATGAGTTTCTCTTTTCTGGTGTATTTGCCCACTTGTCCCCCCTGAAGGCCTGGGGTCTTGGTGTTGTGGGAGAGCACAGCCTCCTAGAGTCAGCCAGGTCTGAGCTGGGAGACTGCCACCCACACAAAAACGGCTGTAATACTCCCTTAACCTTTCTGAGCTCCGGTTCGATCCTCCGTGCAGTAGGGCCAATAGGAATTCCTCCCTGTGGAGCTAGGGCAGACTTGTAACTGGGCAGGGGGGCTTTCATGACCTCAGAACTATTCATGGCATGTGATAAATGCTCAAGCTTCGTGAACCATTGCCATCACCAATAACTAGTAATACAGTGATGAATTGTACTTACAGAGGCGATTCACTGCTGAAAGCATCCCTCACTTAGGCGGGCCTCCCTGCCTGTCTCACAGGGACAGTGTTATAAGTTCCAGGCGTTCCCTGTTGATGTAGAGTGGCACCTGCTAAGTGCCTAGAAGGGTCCATTGGCCAGGGACTGTCTAAGGGACTGTCAGTTGGGCTGTCAGGACCACCAGTCCTTAGACCCCAACCTGGGTGTGAACTGGCACGGAGGGAAGGAAGCTGGTGCCCCTGTCCCTTCCAAGCCTGTGTGTGTGTAGTTGGATGTCCTCTCTGAGGCTCCGTAGTTCTCATCTGAAAGAGACCAGAGTTATGAGGCCTCTGGGGATTGTTAGGCACTAATGGATCCGGGTTGTAGGGATGCAGCTTTCTAGAAATAGATGCGGGAGTCGAAAGGCCCTCCTCTGTGCCCTGGTCCCCTGTCAGTCTCTGTCTCTGGCCACTGTGCCGGGGGGCTGGGGGGGCCTGTCCTAGTCTGGTCAGCTTACTGGGTGACTTAATTTCCTCACCGGTAGAATTAGAATAATAATAGACTCCCCCTACCCACTTCAAAGGGGTGGGGTGAACTATGGCACTTTGCAAAAGTTAACAGTGGAACACGGCTCTAAGAAACTCCTAGGGGCGGGGCTCACTGGACTGATCAGCCTTGTTCCTGAGAATGACACAGCCCCAACACCAGACCTTCGTCTGGACACTTGTGGCCCAAGGCTTAGCTCTGGCTGCTTCTTATCTCAGTCCAGTTTTCCTAAGTTCTAGACTGGTAGCTCTCTGCTGAGAGCAGGTGGCTCCTGGTGGACATGTGGTAATGTCTGGAGGCTCATTGGTGAGGCCTGAGTGTAGGCAGGTGAAGAGAACAGAGGAGTGAAGGAGAGAATGGGACGTGCCCATTGCAGAGGTGTGCACAGCCCGGCCTGCCACCCCTGTTCTTCCAGCAGGCAGCCCTAACCCTCTGTCGCTGCCTTCTTCACACAGCACCCGTGGGGGGCTGGCCTTGGGAAGGTGGCCTGGGAGCCTGGAAGGTCCACGCTGACTCGGCTTGGAGCAGGCCCGAGGGGCCGCTGTTACTCCTCCTACTCCCTTCTCTTGGCTCTCCTCCCTGCTGCAGACCCTCTCCTACCTTTGCTGGGACTGGTGATTCTCTGAGAATCCTGGGTGCTCTTATCCCTAGCAAGACCACAAAAGTCCACTAGGACTCCTTCGGCCCCTGGGCAGAGTTTCTCGATCTGCGGTGCTGACGACAATGACAGTAGCCAGCATCTAGCGAGCGCTCTGTCAAGGTCAGGTACTTTGTGCGTATCAGAATTTTGTCCTCATTTTAGGCTCATTTTATAGATGAGACTGAGGCTCAGGGAGAGTAACTGACTTGCCTGAGGTTCCCCAGCCAGAGAGTGGCGGAGCCAGGACCTTTCTGGGTTTTGGCACAGTCCTGGGTGTGTCTCCAACTCTTTAAGAGCAGAGGGGCATGCACGCCAGCCTCTTACAGCTCAGCTGTTGGGAGCCCAAAAGGAGGCAGCTGCGGGGACCAAATCTAAAGTGAGAAGAGCCCCCCTCACAAGACTGTGGGAATGAAATGTGTGAGCATGCACGAAACTCAGAAAGCAGTGCGCAGCCCAGAGGGAGCACATAGTGTTAGCTCCCGTCACTTCAGGCAGAAATGACCCAGCCCAAGTGACCCCCAGAGTCCCACATCACTGACTGTGTGCTAGAGGATAGTGGGCAAGGAGGATGCGCTCAACAGGCTGCCAAATAAGACTTCATATGAGATCCCTAAGTTTCTTGGAAACCACCAACTGTGTCCAGATAAGCAACGGTTGAGGCAGAGACTTGGAGAGGGAGGGCCTTGCCCAAGTGCCCCAGCCTCCAGCTCCGGTCCACCTCCCTGACCTCCCTGTCTAGCAGAAACCTCCAAGGAGCCCACCTCTCTCTTCCCTTCCCTGGAGCCAGCCCAACAGGCAGCAGCCTTGGCCAGTGGGGACCAGGGACCTTGCAGAAGACATAATGAAGGATGTCAGCTGCTATAGACAGCCTGTGACACCATGTGCTCGCTCTCTGCCAGGCCCTGCCTTCTGAGCTTTGCATCGTAGCTCAGTGGTCTCCTTTCCTGATGCTTATCTGTTTCAGATATCCTTCTTCTGTCAGCTGCGAACACTGGACGTTGTCTCCTCCCATTCTGCTGAATGTCTTTAACGGGTCACAGTGCTCTTCGTCTAACAGAAACCCTTCATATGAATGGGATTGAATTCATCCATTTTTCCCTTTGTGGTTTGAGGTTTTGAAGTTTTCAGAAGTCTTTCCCTACCTTTAGTTGGCAAGATACATTTTTTTAAAGATGTTATTTATTTATTTATTTATTTATTTATTTATTTATTTATTTATTTTTAGAGAGAGGGGAAGGGAAGGAGAAATAGAGGGAGAGAAACATCATGTGTGGTTGGTTGCCTCTCATGTGCCCCTACTGGGGACCTGGTCTGCAACCCAGGCATGTGCCCTGATTGGGATTTGAACTGGCAACCTTTTGGTTCGCGGGCTGGCACTCAATCCATTGAATCACACCAGCCAGGGCAAGATACTTTTTATTTTAACTCTGCAGCTCACCTTTCATATTTGGGTCTTCGTTCATGGGAAAGCCACTTTGGCACATCGTATAAAGGGCTCCAGATTCATTTTCTGTATGTGGTGAGCCAGCTTCCTTAACTCGATCAGCTGAACAATCTGGCCTTTCCTTGGTCTTCTGTGAAACTCCTTCTGTTGCACTCCCTGGTCTGTCTGTCTGTCTGTACCAACCACACAACTTACTGTGTGACTGTGCAGTACGTATTAGTGTCCGGCACAGAAAGCCCCCTCTTTGTTTCTCTGTTCTAGACTTTAATGAACTTTCCATTCCTCATTCTAGATTTGAGAGTAAGTTTATCAAGGTCCTCAAAAAGTCCAACTGGATTTTTGATTGAGAGTGTGCTGAATTTACAGATTACTTTGGGGAGAAGTGACCTCTTTATAATATTATAT